CTGCTGGAACAATGTTAAAAGTTCGGCCTGGATTTGGTCCCGAACTGAATCCAAAGCCACTGCTGGATCCACTAGTTCCAATCGGGGAACAAGTCCCCGTCGAAAAACGGAGAATACCACGAGGGCACCAATAACATAAATAATCAGAGGGGAAAGAACTAAAAAAAAGATCTGAACTCATACAATACAAAAAGTCTTTTTTTTCCGCCGTTAGGAAAGACTTGTCAGAAATGTGTATGTGGTTGGTTGTTGACCAAGAAAGACATGGGAAAAAGACCAAAGCCATCATAGCATAGGATTGACTTCGTCGCTCTGCTCCATGATACCAGAGAGACTTTCTTACTAAAAAAAAGAGCTGTGGTTGGTTGTTGACCAACGGAAAGAAAAGCATGGGAGAAAGAGAAAGATGGATGCACAAACGAAAGGAAGAAGGGCGACTTCTTTTTTTTTTATAGATTCTGTCCAGCCCAAATCTGTTTTTAGTTTCATTACGCAATTTTTTTACAGGGGAGTCGAAGCCACACAACAACGACCAACTCTAACTGTCGCCCGCTAAACCACTTAGCTACCGGTATTTCTTCTCACACAGTACCAATCGCTACGAGATTCTCTAAAAGCTTCAATCGCATTACATACAGTGATTCAAAAATCAGTGATTCAAAAATCAAATGCAACATTGCGCGGATCAAAACCCGTCTCAAGTGGCTTGGCTAGGGGGCGGAAAGGACGAACTTCATTTTTAAGCAGCGGGATCTCTTTTCATTGCTAAGACCGCCTCATTTCGAAACCGGATTCGCTACCCAATTAGTCTCCCTACGCTATTATATATATTATATTAGGCACCTTTGGTCCTTGCTTTCTCGATCAAACTCTCTGACGTCGAAGAAATACTTCGAGGAGCAGGGATGATTTGAAATCCTGTATTTTTTTGACACTGAACACCAAGCCAATCTTGACTTAAGTAAGTACAAGCAAGGCAATGGACTCTATCAAGAAGGTATGGAACTTCTCGACGCACCTCTTGAAATGAAATTCCTTCTTTGCCACATCTCTCTTAGCTTATTTTATTTCGAGTTATTAGAGGGAAGGATCACTCCTAAAATAAGCCTTTCTCTTATATTATATACGAGAGCACTGCTGCCACTTCTGAAGCTAGGGACTTCTTTCTGTCGATACCTTTACTTTAGAGAGATAAAGAATAGGGGCGAAGCGGTTGAATTGGCTTCCATCGAAATCGAGATTTCCTCTGCCTCTTTTCTTATATTTATATCTTATATTTATATTTTATATTTATATTTTAGGCACTCGAAGCATATTGGAAAGTTTCCAGTAGAGCGGGAAGAAGGCTTAGTCAAAGACTTTCAAGAGCTTGTTGGAGGAAATGGATCAAAGGAAAGGGTAATTATTAATTAAACCGGCCATGCCAGAGAAGAAGCGGGGAAGCCTTATTCAATCAACTACAACCTAGCAATAAGAAGAAGGACAGGCCTGCACCTAGGAAGAAATCCAAAACGTCGAGGGGGCTCACAACCTATTTATTTTATTTATTAATTATCAAGTTGGTTTATTAGCGCACTCACGCCAAGTGCTACCGCCTCATCCTGGTGAGGCATCCCAAGCCCCTGTAACATTTGGCTTTTTGCGTCCTTCTGCCCTGGGATAGTTGGGCCGGGCCTGGTAACTGCCGCTTCGATCAAGCGTTAAACTACTACTTCTGGCTTCGGTCGAGAAAGGTATGGGCCTATGTATGGGTCGGGTTCGTAGTAGCAGACGGACAATTAAAGTACGTGGGGTCTGCTTGGTGAAGCGAAGTAGACAGGTATCTCCTAGATATCGAACGAACTAGCCACTCGTTATTGTAGCAAGGCGCCGTGGGTCTTGCGAGCTTCTGGGCGTATACGAATCTCCTCGATTCCTCTATATGTAAGGAAATAGCTACATCCAAAAGAAAGAAAAGGGGCAATGGTCGCCCTGGACTCTCCCAACAGTCTTTCGCCTTTTTCAGGCCTTCGCCTTAGTCCAAAGGAAGGGATTCTTATGTAAAGAAAATAATTCGTTACAAATAAGGTCAAGCTAGCTGGCTCATAACCTTGAGGAAGGAAATCCTATTTCGCCTTTCTTTACACCGGTATTCAAATAAGCTGCTGCAAAGAATGAGAAGTGGGTCTCGCTCTCCTAATCAGTCGTTAGCTTATCCATCTCTCTTTTTATCCGGGCTTATTCCGCTTTAGCTGAGGCCGATGCCCCTATCTTTCTTCTGATCCGCCCCTAAACAATAGCAATAGCACGAATCCTAAGCTACGGCACGCGAAGGAATGGTTCCATGAATCATGGGTGGAGGCGACAGGGGGATTGGTTGGCTTACTATGGGGAAGGGGAGAATCACTAAAAAAAGTCTAGAGCTCCCCTAGGGAAAGTCTTCTACCTCGTTGGACCGTATTCGCTACTAAAACGTAGCCCTCCTCCTCCTCCGCCTTCGTTTGAGGAAGCAGGTATTCGC